AATATGCATTCGATGTTTACAGTAAGGAGCTCATTATCCGTTAACGGCCTTAAGCTGTGACGTCACTGAATGTTGGCCCGGTTTCCCTTCGGGCTGGTTTGAATGACAGGTTTGACAGAATACCGTTAAAAACCGTTATAGACGTTAAAATAAGTCGTCCAGTCATATCAAAGAGAGAAAAAAACGATAATAATAATATACCTGCAGATTTAAGTACAACTTTTTGAAATTATGTGTTTTGGAGGAAGTCAAATTGTCTACGTAAAGTAATGAAATGAAGGAAAAATTAGCAACGGTGAAGGAAATGATGGATACACTTATTTTACGTCTATAAAGAAGGCTCTACACTATCGTTTGAATTGACACTTTCTCTTTCCTTCTCACAAACCATCTCTCTTTCATCTATGTATTCATTTTTCTCCTCCCGTGTTCCAAATTTTTGTTTTCTCCTTAAAATGAAACAAGTACCTGATTCCTGAAGCAGTGTAAGTTAACGTTATAACTGAGACCATCTAAATCTAAGCCTTCGTCTCGATAGTGGTCGAAGGAGGTGCTCGTGGGAAGATTGCTACACAGACACAGGCTCTGCTTTTCACGGGTGTTTTTGGAGTCAGAAAAAAACTGGTTACTTTGTCTTTATTTTGTTTTGCCTTGAAATCGTCCCCTCAAGAATTGTAAGAACATTAATGCAATTTCAGTGATTTTTTTTTTATGTATCAGTTAGATATGCCTATATAGACTGTTTTATATGCATAAGTTATATATATATATATATATATATTATATATATATATATATATATATATATATATATATATATATATATATATACATAACATATATATAAATGCATGTATATATCTATGTGTCTGTGTGTGTGTGTACATGTACATATGTAAACATGTATAAGTATGTCATTTTTTCAGATAGAGCGATGTCGGTCCTACTCTAGAAGCCCGAATGTATCAATTTCCCTATTAACCTTACTCCGAAGCCACAGCAAGACAAAGCACCTTTTACACTTTTTTTTTCCACACAGGAAGAAAACACATGTCCAACATCAGCTATTCCTCCAATGTTATTCACTCACTTTCAGGAAACGTAACAGCATTTTGACCAAAGGAAACGTACTTTGCATCTTCTCCCTTTACTTGTGTGGTTCTTTGCCTTTTCTCATAGTCTTTTGTGGAGTCAGTGCCATATATATGTGTGTGTGTGCGTGTGGTGTGTATGTGTTGTGTGTGTGTGTGTGTGTGTGTGTGTGTGTGTGTGTGTGTGTGTGTGTGTGTGTGTGTGTGTGTGTGTGTGTGTTGTGTGTGTGTGTGTGTGTGTGTGTGTGTGTGTGTGTGTGTGTGTATGTATTATATGTATTTATATATTTATATGTATGTATATATGTGTTTATATATATATATATGTACATATATATTATATATATATATATATATATATATATATATATATATATATATATATATATATATATATATATATATATATATATATATATATCGTTATTGTCCTCGGGAGGATCGGCATGACCATCGAAGGGCCCATAGCAAATGCGTGGTGAAAGCAACGTGTCTTCTCAGGATACGAAAGTGGTCAAGCGGATGAGAGAGGGTTCGACCTGGACAACAAAAGTGGTTTCTAATCCTTTCAAGAGAACGCTGTTTGTGCGGTTTTATGCCCTGTGACAAAATATAATGCGGACGTGGTTAATAACTAGTAACACTTTAATGAAAGATAATGACTATAAGAATTAATGTGAATAGCGTAAAAATGAAATAGGGTCAAATGAATGAATGGATATGAGAGGGAAAGAAAGAGAAATAAGATAAAGAGAGTGAGAGAGAGAGAGAGAGAGAGAGAGAGAGAGAGAGAGAGAGAGAGAGAGAGAGAGAGAGAGAGAGAGAGAGAAGAGAGACAGAGAGAAGGAGAGCTAGAGTAGGGCTAGACAGGGAGAGAGGAGAGAGAAAGCGAAAGAAAGAGAGAGAGAGAGAGAGAGAGAGAGAGAGAGAGAGAGAGAGAGAGAGAGAGAGAGAGAGAGAGAGAGAGAGAGAGAGAGAGGAGAGAGAAAGAAAGAAAGAAAGAAAGAGAGATCGAGAAGAGAGAGAGAGAGAAAAGAGAAAGAGCGAGAGAGAAAAAAAAAAGAGAGACAAAGGGAAACGAAAGACTAAAGGACCATCAGCCAACAGCAAACGAGAAAAAAACCCCGAAACAAAAGCAAGAGAACGAGCGAGAAAGCAAAACACAAGAAGGACGAAGATCCAGCTGAGAACTCGTCCCGAAGAAGACTCCTTCCCGAGCGTCTTGCAGCCATAACATCTAAGACTTTGGCTTCCGGCGGCGGCGTCTCCCTCGGCCGCTATGGTGTTACTGGATATCAAATGCAGTCTGAGCTTATCTCTAATTGTTATCAGTGTGAATAACGGGGATAGGCCAGGTCAGTAGCAACTCGAGGAGGTGTCATGGATTGTTTGGATTGTTTAATGAAAATATAAGAATTAAAATCATTGTTTTTCCTTTTTGAAAATTGAAGAGAGCAAAATGATCGACCACATTCACAAAGCATCCGTAACTTGTATGACGTCATCAAAATAAACTCCATGTGTTTTTTTTCCAAAAATAGAATCAGACGCCATGACACCTCCTCGAGTTGCTACTGACCTAGCCTCTCCCGTGAATAACGTGAACCAATTGACTAATAACAATAGCAATTATGCAAGTACAACGGAATAAATAAACAGTAACAAAATTAGTCGGTTGTTAAGGTGTTCTCTCTTTATTTTTTTTAGTATTTTTACTCAAAGCAAATCGTCTGGTGTAGAAGTTGATTTTTTCTCCTTATCTCCGGGTTACGTAAAGGTTATCATATATTTATATATACACACATCATTCGTTCAGTATATAGGTGACTGTAATTGTGAATTGGAGACGTTATTAATGATATTAAAAACAGTACATCTGCGTAATGATTAACAACCGGAAAACATGTAGAAGAAAAAGACACTTTACACCTAACGCGTAAACACCACAACGCAACCTTAACTAAAGCGTCATCGACAGTGGCCATGCGGTGATGACGTAGTGGTGACGTAAGCATGAGATCACCTATGTACACAAGCTGAAGATTATTGTTACTCTTGCACCATCACCTAGATCAGTAATTTGATAAGAGAAAAAAAAATTATATCATTATTTATAGAAACACATAATACATCTACTAATAATTTCATTTTTTTTTTGCCTCTAATATATGAAACATGTATCATTGTGAGATTCATCATCACTTTGACTTGATTTCAGAAGAGGCAACGTTGTCACAGCTTGTCTTTCACAACACATAAGGGGAAACATTGAACTGCGAGCCCAAATAACTCATTTTTCTCTCTTTTTTTCCAAGTCACAAACAGCTGTAGAGTCTCGTATCTCTCTGTTCACTTCAGATCACTAGAGTCACGTCTATTTGATAGATTTCCACGTTTCTATTTATATATATAAACATCTTAGAATCGTCTCCTTTTCAGGTCCAGTTTCCAAGACAATAGAATCACACAAACGTCTCACAAGACAGAGTTAAGGTGCGCAGTGTTAGTAAATCTAGATGCCTTTGTGCAGTTGTGTGTCAGTACACTTCGCACCTTCAAAGATCCTCAGACTGCTTTCACTGAAGGGGTTCGGAACCGAATCAAGAGGTTCACTAGAGGTTCAGTAGTTGCTCGAACCTTTTTTTTTTTACCCGAGAAGGTTCAGGTTTTGTCCAGAAGGCCTGTCGAAACCTGCTGAAGAGGAGAGGAGAGGAGAGCCTGATGAGGTCGCCTATCACAGCAACTGATTGTCACGCCTGAGCGGAGGTGGGAGCTCACTGAAAGCTCCCTGAAATCATGAAGAAAGACATGATAAATGAATGAAAACGAGAGAGAGAACAGGGTGGCTCCCCTCCGAAACACCCATCAATTTTTTATTATTTTTTTATCATTATCTTTTCTTCTTCCGCTATTTCCCCCGTTTATCTTATCACATTTCCGAAGATTCCATATCAGGGACCAATTTTTTTGTCTCTTTTTTTATATCTTTCTATCTTTATTTTTTAATTAATTTATATGTTTTATCTGTAGCCATTGAGAAGAATCAGAAAATTGACTGTTAATTGTAGTTCGAAAGAAATAGCAAAAGGAAATAAGAACTAGGAACTTTGCTATTGTTATTTTCGAGTCTTTGCTAAAATAATCTGAGGACAGGTAAAGTGTACAATGATAAGTGATGATAATTGACTGGTGATTGTGATGATATACGTGATATGTGTGTGTGATGGCAAGACAGTGATTTCGGGACAAAATTATGTCATTTTTGTGCTTATTACATTGAATACTATGACAGACTAATGCTTTAGAGTATTTTCCTAGACCCGCGTGTGGTTAGTACGATAATAAAACGTGAAATCTTTAATCGTAACATTGATGTGGTGAAGATGGTGATTAAGATAAATGCCATAGTAATTATGATGAGCAATAATACTGATGATGATAATGATATCGAAGGTAATAACAAACTGATGATTGTGGTAGCAGTAATGACGAAATCAATATTGATAATGATGATGAGGGTAGATGATAGATAAGAAAAAGACTTAAACCCAAGAAATATCCTTGTTTTGTGTTACAATTAGGGATTTTAAGTTGACACTGCAGTTCGTGTAATTTTGCTACCTACACCAGTTCTTAAGTTGTGTCTCAGAGTGGTTGTAATGGCTTAAGTACGCAAGCATCAATTCCTATTCTTTTTTTTCCTTTGCTGTGTACAAATGGCTAGTTTTAGTCTAAACCAATGGTCCTTGATATTGGGGTCAGTGTAAATATTTCGAAGGATAGACACTTTCGGCGATTCCTTGAGAGGATTTCTTCCCGGCAGGAGCCTCGAAGCGAACCCCTGGGCGTGGCAGCGGAGTTCTCCATCGCTTCGGTTCGTCGTTTCGTCGTTCGCGTCGTGCGGGCGTC